AGGTACTATTCACTCAAGAACAAAGGCATCTACAACAAAATCAACTTTACAGCTTTCTTGACAACATTTTATGTGGCACTTACTCATACACAAAAAAAAAAAAAATGAATAGAACTTAGAATAAATACTATAATGTTACAAACAGATAAAGATGTATGGTATATTCATACACTACAAGTGTATCTAAAAAGTGAGAGAATGTTCAAAAGTTGCCCAGGAATAGTAAAATGTACTCTCAGGCAGTGTTGAAAGGCATAAAATGACTAGCAATATCAATGAAATTTGGATTATCCAAATTAAACCATATTTCTGTTGATAGAAAACAAAAAATATTTTAAATTTAATTTAATATCTGGCATCTCATTCTTGTAAGTGCAAAGATCAACAGAATTTATTGTTGTCACTTCATTCTTAGCTTTAAAACTTTTTACAAATGTTATGTATAATTTTTTTATACAAACAAATGTTAAAATTATTCAAAAAATACTGTTAAATGAAAACTGAGCCTATACATGACTTTTTAATTTTATTCATATTTTTAGATTAACATCAATCATACCTCATATGCCTTGTTGATCTCAATAAAACGAGATTCTGTACCTGGTTCTTCGTTCTTGTCTGGATGCCTGAAAATCCAGGAAACATTATTCCAAACACTTGCTAAAAAAGGACAATATAATATAAACTTAGCATTATTAAATAATGATCAAAAATAATTAAATAAATATTAATGGAAACATAGGAGTGGCCAATGCTTGTCCAATCTGATAAATATTTTAACATTAGATTCTGTTCAGCCTATTCATAACAACAAGGATTAAATGTAATAACATAAGGAAGCCTAAATTAAACATGAAAATGAAGTTTGATGAAAACAGCATCAGGCATTTTACAGATTATAAATTCATGCGTCTACCATTAACCAACATTAAAAACTACAAATATAAAATAAAAACAAATTTTTATGGTTATCTCAAGAGACAAGCTTTATAGAAATTGTCAGGTTTTACAGGGCTGCAATTCTTTACAGTAGGTGCCTGTGACTTGTTGGCAATCAATTTCAATGATAAAGAAACAGCACACAGTCCATTGTTTTAAAATACATTATCAAAACAAGTCAAATGTATATACAAATGTTCATTACACAGTTAATCACTACACTTTTCGTCAAAAGTCCACACAAGCTGGTTTGGTTACTTTAGAACCCAACTGACAAGATGAATTATTCTTCTCTACTCTGTTATTAAAATACAATCTGAGATTGTTACACTTTAAAAGTCGCCACTATACATTCTTTATGGCTATACTCATGATCACCCAGTATATATCTATCTTTATTCTTTTTGGTTTTCTTGACACGTACATATACGTGTGTGTGTGTGTGTATATATATATATATATATATATATATTGACATACATTTATAAATTAACTAGTAGTTCAATAAAATTTTTAAAGTAAGTCTACAAATGTGATGACATACCCTTTGACTCCTGACTATAGGAAAATCCATAGCAATATGGTTAAAATGAACAGTTATGTATATCTAACAGAAATGTTGACATACCAATAAATGACTGTTTTGATTTGTCTATCAACTACATTATAGTATATATTCATCTTCAACTTGCTGGAAAAATCTTCATGCCAAATGTGAGAAATTAATTTATCATTACTTCTTCCTTCAAATGCAGGTATCTTTGGCTCATAATCATTAAACACTTATTATATTACGTGTACACATTAAATTATTAAATGCTTTGTACAAAATGTATTTTGTTGATGGATTGTGACATAATATTATTTTACTAATTGTAAACATGCAACATCAACACAAGCTGAGCTATGGTATATAAGTAATTAACTGCCAAGTTAAAAAAAGAAGTTAAGGTGTCAATACTTTTCTGTTACTACTGCTTCTGCAGGCATTACTTTGTAGGTTTTAAACTACCAGAGCTTGATTTGATTTACTACTCACAGCATCACCTGTTCCGTATTTATTAATTGTCTTGTGCACTTTGTCTTTATGTACTAATAAACAATTCCCAAGTTACTCATTATTGTTATTACTGACCTAGTTGATGCTGTTTTTGTTGGCCTAGTTGTACATAAGTACAGAAAAAGATTGTCATACTGGTACCTAACATTTGTTGTAATTCTGAATTTCCCTTCCTTGGACATATCATAACTTATGATGGCTCAAAAGTGGATCCTGATAAAGAGAGAGAGCTGTTAAAGATTTCCCTATTCTAAGAGAACTGAACAGGTGAGAGAATTTTTTGGATTAATTGAATATTGTTATAGGTATATCTGAAATTATGCTACTTTGGTTGAATCTTTGACAAGTCTTACTCGTAAATCTATTCCTTTTGTGTGGTCTTCAGTTTCTCAGCATGCCTTTCAAGTATTAAAGAAATACTTGTCTAAACAACCAATCTTGACATTTTGTGATTTTCAGAAAACCTTTGTAGTACATACAGATGCTTCAGATGTGGATGACACCTATCCATTAGTGGAATGTACTACTGTATGGCTTTTAATTGCTATAGCAGAAATGATCTCAACTTAAACCCACAGTCCAAGATCAGGAATTTCCATGAATAGACAGGGTCTCACCATTTATCAAGACAATTCATTCAAGTTTCAGAGTTACAGACTGGGTGATAATGTATGATCAAATCATACTCCTGCAATGCTATAATCCCTCCAATGGTTTTAAAGTTCTTCAACCACTTCAGCAATGCATGATCCATTTGAACAGTGAACTTTCTACCATACAAGTAGTACCAAAACTATTTTACAAGGACAACAATTGCAAGCAGTTCTTTCTTCATCACACAGTAGCTGCATTCAGAAGACATGAGAATACAACAAGCTTATGAAATTATGCATTATACTCTGTCTTGCAACTGCAATAACATTGCTCTGATTCCTCTATTACTGGCATCAATGTTTAGCAGAAGTTCACAATCCTGCTGTGGTTTTGCCAACTTCAGGAACTGGAATGTTTACTCACATTCCTCATGCCACCTGAAATGTGCCTCCATCTTAGTAAGAGGTGAAACAATCTTGTAGAAGTTGGGCACAAACAATTGGTAATAGAAAAGAGATCAAGGAAACTGCTTCTCATCCGATCATAGGTTAAGGCTAATCTCGTTCAACTGCCCTTTTAGCAGGGCTCATAAAAATTCGTTCTCTAACCACAATATGATCAAACAATTCAACTTCCATGCACATTAATAGACATATTGAGATTTCAGTTTTAAGTTAGCCATTTTTTAACAACTGGAATGACATTTTTAGGTTCTCAACTGAAGATTCTCACATGTGCAGCCAAACATCAAGATGTAAACATAGGTAAGGAACTTCTTACATTGCAGACCCTTCTGTGGAAGCTCCATTAGCCTTTTGAAATTGGCAGACACATTACACAGTACAAATGGCAACACACAAAATTCCTACAAACCATTTTTCATACTGAAAGCAATGTTAGCTCTGTTCTTTTCATTTAGTATCTAGTCGCCAGTTACAAGTTTAGCATAATAACCAATGTATTTAGACATTCATCTGTTTGTGGTAATGAAAAGGTATCAATGAGAGTTATTACATTCAACCATATAAAATCAATGAATAATCTGGATGTATCTTCCTTCTTCCTGACAATAACTACTAGAAATTACACCAGTCACCCTCTTTATACTGCATGATTCTGTTCTTAAACATCTAATGTACTTCAGTGCTTGCAATATCCCTACTGCTGAAGAGAAGATGTGCATCAGCTGTATCAATGTGATGTGTGACAGTAGTTCAACCCATGAGGCCATCCAGTCCCATAAGTACATCAGCATAATTCTACCAACAAATCACTGAGATGCTACCACTATGTTGAGCTTGAATTGTATGCAGAATCCTCAGATAATGAAATTATATATGTTGATATCATGTATTTTTCTGACACAGCGTGATGGTCTCATCCATAGCATTACCACTTGTACCAGTTACTTCCACTTTGCTTATTGTATCGATGAACATCCCAGCATACTATTGGATAGCCAATCATTTCAAATTGCAGAACAACACTAGAACTTCATTTCATGTGTCAGCTCCAGAGATGAAAGTGTCCCTTTCCTAAAAATCCTGAAAATAATCG